CTCGGGCAGCCAGGACAGGGAGGACGGGCCCCCCAAGAGAGACAGGAGGAGAGAGGAGGAGAAAGCTGGCCCGAAGAAGCTGTCCCAGGGGAAAGGGGATGGATCCCTGAAGCAGAAAGGAGTCGCTGGGAAAACCACGGAGGGCACAAAGGAGAGCAGCCAGCCCGAGAGAGCGGCAGAGGAGTGGGGCCCCAAGGAGTGCCCTGCCCTCAGGGGGCTGGAGGAGGAGGGGGGCAGAGCCGGCAGGAGGGCAGAGGAGGCGCCCAGGGCAGAGGGGGAAGGCCAGGGCAGCCTCAGCACAGCAGGGCCCAAGGTGGAGCGGCCACGCTACCACACCAGGAGATCCTCCCAGGGGCTGCTGGCCAGCATAGAAAACTCTGAGGCTGACGGCTCTGAGGGCAGGGAGGAGAGCACAAAGAAGAAAAAGCCCCTGAGAGTGAGGAGCAGAAGCAATTCTCTGGAGGGGAAATTGAAAGAGGGGCAGGCAGGCAGCCAGAGCCCTGAGGGCCCTGCCCAGGGAGGTGACACCAGGAGTGCCCTGGAGGGCAGTAAAGGGGAGCCTGAGCTTGGCACAGGGGCTGCAGTGCCAGCTGAGCCTGGCGGCCTGGAAAAGCAGGAGATGGCTGCGGAGGCTGAGGGCTCTGGCAGCTCTGAGAGTCCAGGAGCTCTGCAGGACACCAGCATGGAGCCCAGCAGGGCTGACACATCCATGGAGTCGGTGGGCAGCCCCTGTGAGCCCGAGCAGGACGGGAGGGCGGCAGAGGAGAGGCAGAGCAGCACAGGGCACTGTGCCCCGGGTGCTGAGCCCGCTGTGCAGAGCCCTGAGTGCCACAACAAGAGGAGCAAAAGGGTGAAAAAAATCAAGAGCTGCGATTGCTGCTTCAAAAAGCCAAGGCAGCAGGTGCCTGAATTGAAGCTCTCTGAGTCTAAAATGGAGAAAGCTGAGCTGGAGGAGCCTGAGAGCACCCAGACCCCAGCCCAGACCCCAGCCCAGACCCCAGGCCAGAGTGTTTCTGGTCCCTCAGACCTGGAGGAGAGCTTGGCCCTGGCTCCCTGTGGGATGAGCACTCCATTGCTCCCTCCTGAGGAGCCCAGCGCCTTCAGCCTGGCCAGGCAGGAGATGGATGTGATGGATGGGATGGATGTGGAGAACCTGCAGGGAAGCTCTGTGAGGGTGGAGGAGCAGGATCCAGAGGATCCAGAGGCTGCAGCACCTGAAACCACCGAGTCCAGGGAGGAAATAAAGGAGCCTGCTGAGCAGAAGGAGCAAACAGAGCAGGTTCTGCCTGAGAGCGTTCCCGAAGAGCCCAGGGAGAGCTGCCTGGACTCAGGGGAGCAGGGGGAAGAACCAGCAGCTGCAGAAAAGGAGGAA